GTCTGCTGTGGGCCTTCTGGGCGGCCGCCGTCCCCAGAGATACAGGGAGGTCCCTGTCACGCCTGCCTCCGATGGGCCTGCAGTCTAGTGGCAGACACGACCCTGGCCGCACCTCCTTGAGACCTGGGGCTGGGGCTGGACATCTGGCAGAGTCTGGTGCTTGAAAGGCACTGAAGAAACTGTGTTGAGGACAAGAAGCCCCTCGGAGTTTAGACAGTAAGAATTCAGAAAGATGAAAGAACTTCCATGCGGTTGAAGGTGGGGGACTGTCAGAAGAGAAGGAATCTGAGGTGCCTCTTGAGGGATTTAGAATTGTTGGGAGCCAGAGAGAGTGGAGGGTGTCAGGCAATGCAGGGGGAGACTGAGAGCAGGAGTGTTGGAATTAGGATGACGTGATCTGCTTGACCCCGAGCAGCTGTGTGACTCTGGATAAGTCACTCAACCTTTCTGAGCTTCATTTTTCCTTACATGTTTATGGGGAGAAATAGTATCTGCCTCACAGAATTACCTAAAATATCCCCTCAAAGCATGTTGCTAGGTGCCTGGCATATAATAGATGGAAATGGTGTCAGTTTTTTATTATCAGTGACAAAGACACAATGTAGGAAAATACAGCATGTTTGAGGGAAGGGCAGCAACTTCATTTCACTTGAGAGAAGGAGGGTTTATTTAAGGGATGTGGGCTTTAAAATTTACTAGGAAGCCAGGCAGGCCTTGTAGCTAGATGCCTGGTTCTGAAAATAAGTGGTTTTTTTGGAGAAGATCACAAAAAACCAAGTGATCCTTCGGGGCCTTGAAGAGTTATTCTTTTTGCTGTAACTAGTTCTGTGAACTCCTCCATAGTTGATACTAACATCTCGTGTACTCTGTGATCCTACACTTTCTTCCAATTACTTTCAGACATAACGAATTTTGTCTAAATTTGGAAATCACCATGAAATCTTTGGACTATGTGAGCAGAGAGGTTACCAGAAATTGAGAGAGGAAATCCTTGGAATCTTAGAACTGGGAAAAATGGCCATAACTCAAGGATTTGGCTGTTTTCCACCTGTGGAAATTCACCAGAAGTGAAAAGATGTGATGTCCCCATCTCTGCCTCCAGGTGGGGAGTGATGGACAGCCAAATGGAGCCCCTTGCTAGTCCCCTGGCTCTAGATGCTGAGGTCGAAAAGATACTCTTTAATGCAGGATCATCCCAATTAGCCTCCTTTCTAGGAGGAGATCGAGGAATAGACATCCAGTTGTAATATACGTGACTCCTTTGGCTGATCATTCCCATTTCTAGGAATGTATTGGGTTGGCCAAAAAATTCGTGCAGGTTTTTCTATAAGATGTTATGGAAAACACCTGAATGATCTTTTTGGCCAACCTAATATCTCAGTGAATGTCCATTGTAGCTTGTTTAGCATAGAAAAAAACATGACAACAGCTTAAAATATCCATTAACATGGAGTTGACTAGTATAACTGGGGGGTTATCTATTCAACAATATTAAGCAGGCATTAAAACTGATGGTGTATATCAAAATGTTTAGTTGTTGAAAGCCATCTATGACAGGCTGTCAAAAAAAAAAGCTGGTTTCAGAACAGTGTACTTGGATGATCAAGTTTCTGCAAATTACATTTGTGTTTATACATTCATTAAAGCTCAGGAAGGCTGTAAAGCAACTTATTAGAGTGGCAGCCTTTGGGGAAGGGACTATGAGTAGATGTTTGATGTTTATTATGCTATTTCTGTATTGTGTGAATTTTTAAGAATGGATCACTTTGATCATAAAAAGATCTCAGATTTGAAAAAAAAATCCTTGTGCCTTTTTTTGTGGGTTGAAAGGAAAATAAAATCAGCAAGTGCCCTTGAAAAGTAGCTGATTTGATAGTAAACAAGGTGAAATAGAGTAACCATAGAAGAGATGACATCTCAGTGATTGGCATAATTGGAGTCAATATCAATTGTAAGAAAACAATTATGTTCATTGTAAATTATTTTGTACTAGTAATAGCTTTATTGAGGTATAATTCATATACTAGAAAGTCACCCATTTGAAGTGTATAATTCAATGATTTTTAGTATATCCTCAGAGTTGTGCAATTGTTACCATGATCAATTTTAGAACATTTTTCATCACCCTCAGATAAACCCCATACATGATAGCTATCATTTCCCCATCTCCTCCTAGCCACTGGCAACTACTACTCTGTTTTTTCTCTCTGAATATTTCATATAAATGGAATCCTACCATTTGTAGTCTTTTGTGTCTGGCTCCTTTGAATTAGCATAATTTTCAAGGTTCATTCATGTTGTAGTATGTATCAGTGCTTCATTCATTTTTTTTCCCCAAATAACACTCCATTATATGGAGATACCACACTTCATATATCCATTCATCATTTGATGTACATTTGGATTGTTTCCACTTTGACTATTTTGAATAGTGCTGCTATGAACAGTCATACGCAGAATTTTGTGTAGACATATGTTTTCATCTAAATTACTTCTAAAGACTGTTTTTTTTTTAAAAAAGTTAAACCTCCACCTGGGCTTCCCAGGTAGCACTGGTGGTAAAGAATCCACCTGCCAATGCAAGAGATGCAGGTTTGATCCCTGGGTCAGGAAGATCCCCTGGAGAAGGAAATCGCAGCTCAATCCAGTATTCTTGCCTGGAAAATCCTATGGACAGAGAACCTGGTGGGCTACAGTCTGTGGGGTCGCAAAGGGTTGCACATGACTATGCATGCATGCACACTTGTGATTAAAGCTAAATACTTAAAACCCACACAAATGTCATAAGGATGATATATGTGGCTCCCCCTTCTGCTGCAGTTTCCTGGGGTCCCCCGAGACTTCAGAATTGGATGGCACCTGGGACTCAGAGGCTGCTCAGTGGCCTGTCTGCCAGTGACACATTTCAAGAGGTCAGGATCTCACAGTGAACCACAGAAGCTCTGAGAAATGTGGTCACTCCCACCCTCCATCAGTCCTTATCTTGGCTGTACATTAGCCAGGAAGTACAGTTGCCCTCCGTATCTGTAGGTTTCCCATCCGTGGTTCAACCAACCGCAGATTGAAAATATGCAAGAAGAAAAAAATTCCAGAGAGCTCCAAAAAGCAAAACTTGAATTTTCAATAGTATTTACAACTATTTACATAGCATTTACATTTTATTAGGTTTTCTAAGTAATCTAGAGACTATTTAAAGTATGAGGGAAGATGTGTATAGACTATACACAAATACTATGCCATTTTATATAAGGGACCTGGGCATCCTTGGATTTTGGTATCCTCAGGGATCCTGGAACCAAGCCTCCTACCCATTCCCTGCCTCCCGCCACCAAGAGACCAGGGGTGACTGTTTTTAATCAGGCACTTAGTAAATGCCCCACTAGCTGAGGAGAGAGATCTGAAGGGGACAAATGGTCCTTACTCTCAAGGAGCCTGTATCCGTCCTCTCTGGGGCATCGCAACACTGGCAATAATAGAGTCACAGATAACCTGGCAGGCAGTGGACCAATCTGCCTATTCAGGAATAAAGGGGAGTGGGGAGAGACTGTTGGGAGGGGAGCAAGGGTCTGTCTCCTGGAGAGGATGGCGACTGGGAGGTGTGGACTCCTTCCTTGAGTAGCTGTGGTTTCTGAAGCTAGTGCCTGGTGCTCCTGACAATTCGACATCAGACGTACAGAGGGAGGCAGCATCGGCGGTGGCTAGAAGCAAGGGTGGCAGAAGCAGACCAGCCTGGGCTTGGATCTCGGCTCTGCCGTGTCCCATCTGCGTGGCTCTGGGCAGGTTGCTTCACCTCCTGGGTCTCCGTTTCACCACCTAGGCTTCTCTAGTCACAGCACACAGACTTTCTTGTCCTGCGGCATGTGGGATCTTAGTTCCCCAGCCAGGGATCAAACCCGCATCCCATTCATTAGAAGACAGATTCTAAACCCCTGGACCACCAGGGAAGTCCCAAGTTATATCATCTTTAAGCTCCAATTCCTTCAGCTGTTAAGGAAAAAAAAAAAAGGATTAAGAGTGTGAGGTCATGGTAGTAAAGTTCTATGCATACAGTTAGTCCTTTAACTTTTCCTGTTGGGTATCACTTACCCATTGTGTAGAAAAGCAAACAGAAGTGTAGGGGAAAAATGAAGCCTAACTCGAGAGTTTCAGCTCTTGCCTCTGATCAGCCTCCCTTGCAACCCCCTCAGCACACCCACACGACTCCCTAGCTTCAACGCCCCCTCCCATCCTGCCCTCCATCCTCCGTGTGATTACACACGTGCTTGTCTCACTCACCTTTCTTTCATGTTTCACGTCAAAGACGAGACTGAATGCTCACGTCCTTGAATAGGGCATAGTTAGGAGACTGGAGAGATAAGAAGACTGAACATACAGAGATGACTCGGGGTGATAATTTCTAAAAAGCAGATGAACAGTAGCATCTCTAGGACTGAAGCTTCAGGAGAAAAGGGCTAAAGGGAGAGCTTTCTGAGTGGGGTCGGAGTCTGGAGAACCAGAGTCAGCCGTTGCCTTGGCTGGAGGTGGGTGCAGAAGTGAGAAGGGAAATGCGTGCCATGTAGGTCCGTGTGTTACAAACCAGTGGACAGTTTAAGGCATTGAAGTAAACGAACATCATGTCCTCTCTTGGGGTACCCCAGACTCTAGGGTTCTGTGAGGATGTTTGTGTGTGGAATAAGGGGTTAGGAATTTCTTAATTTCTTTTTTTTTAAAAAATACAAGTGCCCAGCTATATCTCATTTGATTTTATTTGTTTTATTTCTTGGCTGAGCCTCGAGGATCTTAGTTCCTCAATCAGGGTTTGAACCCCAGCTACGTCAGTGAAAGCACCAAGACCTATCCACTGGACTATCAGGGAATTTCCTGTGAGTTTCATTTTTTAAAATGTGCAAGGAGTTAATTTCCAAACCTGATTCTTTTACCTCTGCATCCTCTATCCCATATCCCTTTGTCTGATGCAGGTAAGTGAGGGCATCTCTTGGAAAAGGATACACACATGTTACCTGTTCAAGGATCCGTATGCTACTGTCATTAAAGGAAAGTCGTTCCGAACGTTTGCAAACACCCACTCCTGCGTGGGCCGGTGCTGACAGCTCCCGCTGGAGCAGCTGTGAGAAAAGGAGGGCTTGCAGCCCAGAATGAGGCCCCTCCAAACCCAGCGGCTGAGATAGTGCAGGTGAGGGGGTGGAGCGGGGAACCAGGAAGCCGGAGGGGGTGCTGGTGTGTGTGCCCACAGCGGGGGGGAATGGGGTTGACTTCAAACCTTCCAGTCGTGGGATGGGCAGCCTGGGTTCCTCTTCATACAGAGATGATGGTGACATCCACGAAGCGGCTGACTCCGGGCCGACGGAGAGTGGACACTCAGTAAGCACCCACTCTCTACTCCTCTCCTTTGGATGATCCTCTGGGCTCATATCTTCGTGTGGCAAGACTCTCGCCTTCTGATATGCTTGGAAGTCGGTGGGTAGTTGATCAAACCGCGGAGCTGCCAGAGTCCTCCCGCCTCTGCCAAGTCCTTCTTCTGATGCGGCCCACCTGGCCGCCTTCTGTCTGGGCAGGTGAGATGGAGGCAGCAGATGGGTGAGTTATTTTTAGCCTTCCAAAGAGGATGACGTCGGTGACTTCGAAGGCCACATACCCGGGGCGGTGCTTATCAGACATATGTTCATCGACCCAGTGCGTGGTGCAGAAGAAAGCTCACTAGGAAAGGGCCAGGAAAGCTCTTGGACCAGGCAAAGCACTGGCATCCTATGGTTGACCTCAGCTGGGCCCCCAGGGTGAGGTCCAGCCTGCGGAAGCCGACTCTCCAAGGGGCCGCATTTCCCCACGACTCTGCGGCTCTGTGCCCGCCATCTTTCCCCCCACTTCTCCTTTTCAGGTCCTGGTGAATTGCTCCCAATCTCCCCATGTATTTTCCTGACACCCCAAGGCAGTGTTAGCCCCCTATGCGGGCAGCCCCTCTGTTAGTCATCACACACTATTTTTCACACACACTGTTGTTCACACACCCTGACGATCACCTGCCTCCTAAACTGCAACCGAGACCTTGCCGGGCCAGGGACCTGCTGCATTCCTGCCTGCAGGGAGGGGGTCACCGCACAGAAACGGGCGCCTGCTGGGAGTCTGTCAAATGAATGAATTATGTGAACTTGTCCATCAAATATGACGACTAAGACAAGGAAGAATCTTTCAAATTTGTGACAGCTCTCCATCCCCTTGGCTCCCCCAGAGAACTTTCTGATTTTGCATTGATTGCTTTAAAAAGATGAAAATGAATTCAAATGACTTTGGTCTTGAGAATTTCACAGCCACCTGCAGAAGCCACTGCACATCTGGGGGATCCCCAAGAGAAGGATGAAAACCCTTGTGCCTCATCCTCAGGTTGGAGGACACTTGTCTCAGGACTTCCCTGGTGATCCAGTGTTTACAACTCCACGCTCGGATGCATGGTGTGTGGGTTCAATCCCTGGTTGGGGAACCAAGATCCCACCTGCTTCCCAGCCAGAGAAGATGAACAAATAGTTTGCCTTAAAAAAGTAAAAGAAGACCCTTGTCTCAGGGTGACCGGCTGTCACACACGTGATACACTAGCAAGGAACACAGGAGCTGGTCGGCTGGGAGCCTGGGGTGAGTCACTCTGGCAGAAGCCCCTGTCCTGGGTCACTGGTGGGCAGGGGGCGACTGGCTCCCACTAAAGAGGTGCCTTCACAGTGGATTAAAGCAGTCCCAGGAAAGCTGCAGCTCTGGGAATTTGGGGCCCCCAGAGTTTTGGATTTTCATCTGGTGTCTTGAGCCTTCTCTGCCCTGGGCTTGACGAACACTGATTGGATTGAAGTGTCCCGAAGGCTGGGGCTGGTTTGTACCCTTCTTCCCCACAAAACTGTGTACCTCTACTTCACTCAGGGACCTCATGGGGATGCCCTACTGATACCCAAGGGGTCAGGGGAGAGCAGAGTGGCTGAAGGGGGTCTCCGCTATGCTTGGTGGCCTCCAGTCTGGACGTGTGTGGCTTTTCTGTTCTGGTTGCTGAGCTAGGAGGCTGTGCTGTGGACTCATGGATAAACTGACTCAGTCTCCATTGCCTCTGATGGATCAAGTTTCACTGGGATTAGAGCTTCAGTGATGCTCCAGGGAAGATGCTTAGAGAAACTAGGACCATTTTAAGGGGAAGATAGGCAGAGAATCTAGGACTGTTTTAAGGGGAAGGTATGCGGAAATGTGGCTTCCCTGATGGCTCAGTGGTAAAGAATTCAGGAGATGCGGGAGACATTAGTTCAATCCCTGGGTCAGGAAGATCCCCTGGAGGAGGAAATGGCAACCCACTCCAGTATGCTTGCTAGGATAATCCCATTGACAGAGGAGCCTGGCTGGCTACAGTCCATGGGGTCACAAAGAATCAGACACGACTTAGTGACTGAATGATAACAAATGCAGATATGGCAAGAAAAAGACAAATTAAGCTCCAACCTGGACTCTGAAGGATCCTCCTTGTAAAATCTTGGAGCCCAATTTTGAGTAGCATGGTGGTCGTGGTGCCAGCAGCTGTGGGGGGCAGTGAGACTTGCCTTTTGTCCTGTCCCTGGATATTCCTCATTGCATCACCAAAATGAGATATCCAGGGCTCTGAGAACATGCTGCTTCAGAGGTTAAAATTACAGACTTGTGGCCGCCCAAATGGCTATTTGCAGTAATAACTACTCTGGCACAGGTTGGAAAAGCCTAGTAAATGTTACCCTGGTTTGAAATCTTCCCCTGATCCCCACCCCAGCACCTCCCCAGTGCAGAACAGGTTGAGAGGCAGAGGGACTATTTTTTGTTTGTTTGTGTTTCAGAGCCAAGCTGTCTGGAACCAGTGTCTGGAAGAGCCTCTGCTCCGTCCCAGCAAGTGTACCCAGCAATCAGCAGCCGCTGCTGGACCCGGGGCTGCCTGGATAAACATTTACTGTGAGATCCAGAGGGACTATCAGGGGCGGGCCAAGGATGTCACCGTCTGAGCCTCTGACAGTCGCCGTCGGTCCCACGCTGACCTGGCTTATTGACCTTTGAAAGTGTTAGTCGCTCAGTTGTGTCTGACTCTTTGTAACCCCATGGACCATATGTAGTCCACCAGGCTCCTCTGTCTATGGAATTCTCCAGGCAAGAATACTGGAGTGGGTTGCCATTTCCTTCTCCAGGGGATCTTCCTGACCCGGGGATCAAACCCTGGTCTCCTACATTGCAGGCAGATTCTTTACCGTCAGAGCCTCCGGTGAAGGGGAATTCAGATACACTGGGAAGGAGAGAGAACAATCTAAATCAGAGACTCTCAACTGTGTCTACACTTTAGAATTTCCCAGGAGCTTTTGATAATTCAGATTCCCAGGCTGTGCTCCAGAGGGTTAAGTCAGAACCTCTGCACGTGGGACTCAGCCATCATCTCAAAGCTCCCCCGGTAGATCCAATACTCAGACTTGGTTGAGAAACTCTGACTTAAATGGCATGTGGGGTACCTGCCAGCCATCCTACCCATGGCTGACAGCCCCATGGTGAGGACACAACTCTTCTATTCCATAGAGAGGCAGGTTCCTGTGTTTTTCATTCCATGAGTTGTAGCTCTATGCTGAGTGCAATTCTGGGATTTAATGATCATGTGAACAAGGTCCTGGAACTTCATCTAATTCAATCAAAGCAACTGGACTTTATGGATAATTGAAGGGATTTTCAAATAGAATGTTGACCTAGTGAGGCTATACTTACATCCAGACTATTGGACCTCCGCCCTGGATGACTCCCCTGCATTCCTTTCTTGGTGGATAGTTAACCATTCACCGGTGGCCCTGCCAGAAATCCAGGCATCGTTTTGTTATCTTCCTACAATCCCTCTGTCCCTGTGTTTCATAGGGTCTCATAGGTGCTGCTTCCAATCTTCCTCCGGGCCCTCTGCCCCTGCTTTTGGTCAGTCCTTCCTCTCCCCCTATTACCAGCCCCTCCCAAATAACCTCTCTCTGTCTCTGGTCTCATTCCCTTCTCCATCATCTGCTTGCTTTCAGATGATCGTCCAGAAACAAACTGCCCTTGTAGGCCCCTGCTTTTTTTAATATATTTATTATTGTTATTGTATTATTGGAGTATAGTTGCTTTACAATATTGTGTTAGTTTCTGCCGTAGAACAAAGTGAATCAGCTATATGTGTACATATATCCCCTCTGTCTTGAGCCTCCCTCCCACCCCCTACAGGCCCCTGCTTAAAACCCACCAAGAGCTCCTCTCACTGCTTTTCTAAGAAAGCTTACACATCTGGGCTTGCCCTTTGGTGCTCTGATGGCCAAGCACCTTTCTGGCTCCATCTCCCATCACCTTAAGGATTCTATATTCCAAACACACAGAACTCTGCTTTTTTGACAGCACGTGGGATCTTAGTTCTTCAACCAGGGATTCAATCCGTGCCCCCTGCATTGGGAGTGTGGTATCCAGCCACTGGATACCAGGGAAGTCCTGTTCATGAGACTTTGCTTAGGCTGCTCCCTCTGCCGGGTATTCCTTTCCCTCTGCTGTTAAATTCCTTCTTACTTGTCTGTTAATAGCCTACAAGCCGGATCCTCCCTGTTCCCCGGGCCCCTCCCCTGGGGCATCGCTCAGCTGAAGCACTCTCAAACGTTGATGCCCTTGTGCTTCTTCCCATGCGTCTTGTGAGTTCCGTGAGGGCAGGAGCTGGGTCTTTGCATTGCTGGTGTCTACAGAGTTTTTCTAGACAGCATACTAAAAAGCAGAAACATTACTTTGCCAACGAAGTGCCGCCTAGTCAAGAATATGGTTTTTCCAGTGGTCATGTATGGATGTGAGAGTTGGACTATAAAGAAAGCTGAGTGCTGAAGAATTGATGCTTTTCAACTGCGGTGTTAGAGAAGACTCTTGAGAGTCCCTTAGTCTGCAAGGAGATCCAACCAGTCTGTCCTAAAGGAGATCAGTCCTGAGTGTTCATTGGAAGGACTGATGTTGAAGCTGAAACTCCAATACTCTGGCCACCTGATGTGAAGAATTGACTCATTGGAAAAGACCCTGATGCTGGGAAAGATTGAAGGTGGGAGGAGGAGGGGACGACAGAGGATGAGATGGTTGGATGGCATCACTGACTCAACGGACATGAGTTTGGGTAAACTCTGGGAGTTGGTGATGGACAGGGAGGCCTGGTGTGCTGCAGTCCATGGGGTCGCAAAGAGTCAGACACGACTGAGCGACTGAACTGAACTGAACTGAACACAGTCCCCGGCCTAAAGGAGGCCTTTGTGGCTAAGGCCTGAACTGGTGCCAGCACACCCCTCCCCTTCCCCCTTGTTGATCTGAGAGCTGGCTCAGGCTCGCTTGGCAAGTGCAAAGCTCTGAAACAGGAAAAGTGTGCCTTGGGCCCCCTTCCATCTTTCTGTTATCCAGTTCCCTCTTTCTCTGAGGCCTCTCTTAACTGCTCCCAGCTCCTTTATTTTCCAATTCTGCATCTCCCTATCAAAGGAACTCTCAGATTCTCTCTTTCTCTATCAAAGTATGCTCGCAGAATAAGCATATTTTCTCTGAAACACAAATAGCTGTTCCCCTTCTCTGCTTATTCATATTTTAACAAAGTCAAAGAAATTAATTTCTAAGTATGGAAATATCAGCCCATAGGAGGACAGGTCAGAGAGAAAAAAACAGAGGGTGAGAGAGCCTTCTATGGAGACTTTCTTCCAAGATGGTCATGCATCTTTTTTTTAACCAGAGGATGGATTTTAGGGCTGAAGTTGACTTGTCTCTGCCGTACAGAGAACAAAGAGAGGAGAGAATGAAAGCAAACAGGCATCTAGAAAGGCAGCAGGCAGACCCTCACTGAGGCTGCGGGAGGCAGAGCAGAAGGGAGACAGTTGTCATCAGGGAGTGAAGAGAAGCGAGCACAGGGTGGGGTGGACCAAGGGGATCTGCTCAAGACCTAGACCTCCAGCCCTGGGCAGCCTGGGGTGCACCTTTTAGGTGGATCCCCACAAGACTCCCCCAACCGAGGGAGACAGTGTTCTGGGTGGCAGTCCCATGGTGAGCTACAACACACTCTGCTTCCACGGTCTCAGGCTGGCAGTGATCCACGTCCCCAGTGACTGCAACTGCAATGACATAGAGCCCATCACGGTGGGTAGTTTGGCGCCCCAAGGGACCGAGTACTTCCTATTGATTCCTCAGCCGCTGTGCAGCTTTCTGGTGGACAAGTTTCACGTTTTCCCTGGGGTAGAAGTGCAATAAAATATATAGGAGTCCCCTTCAGGCTTGTAGCCAGCAGCCAATGGTCCTCGGGTCTGGCCATCACGGTGCCTATTCCTGCCTCATGGTCCTGCACCTGGAAGTGAGTGTGGCCACTCAGTGAAGGATGCTCAGACCTACCTGACACCTGCTCTCTCCTTCAACCACGGAGAGAGGTTTCCTCCATCCCCTTCAGAGGTGGGAGATTTAAGCTGGCCCACAGCAGAACAGGTAGCAGCCACTTAGTTTCAAGGGGCGCCAGGCCTCTCCTTCTCTCCCTTCCTTCATATTAGTTTGCTTAACCCCCTAATTCCTTATTAGGATTTGACCCTTGGTCTCGAGGGGCTTCCCAGGTGTCTCAGTGGTAAAGAATCCACCTGCCAATGCAGGAGACGAGGGTTTGTTCCTTGGGTCTGGAAGATCCGCTGGAGGAGGAAACAGCAACCCACTGCAGGACTCTTGCCTGGAGAGTCCCATGGAAGGAGGAGCCTGGCAGTTTACAGTCAGGGGGGTCAAAAATGAGTCGGACATGACTGGCGGAACATGCCCTTAATCCCAAGACACCACCTCTTGTGAGGATGCGAAGAGCCTACCATCCTCTTCAGATACTTGGGTTCCATGTGCTCTTGCCAGATCCCTCCTGGGGCCGTTTTCCTCCAAGGGGAGGCCAGTGGGAGGCGGGAGGGGCTGGCAGCAGGCAGTACTGCATGGGAGGAGAGCACAGGTGATGGGGAGACAGTGCGAGGACCCAGCACACCCCCTTCCCCATCGGTCTTGCGCCGCAGTGATCATGGTTTCTAAAATCCCGGGACATTTGGGCGATGAGAGATTTTTGTACCCATTCCAAACTGAGGGGGCAGTCTTGAAACTGTAGTTTGGACACTGAAATGGTATAATTTCCAGGCCATTTAGATGGTTTATGGGGCCAACGGGGTATTTGAAACTGGAACTGTTCTAGAGAATCCAGGCTGGCCACTGACCACACTGCGGTGGTGGGTGATTGATGGGTCCCCCTGGCCACTGCCTTCCGCTGACCTTTGCCTCATCCTTTATTCCAGATCACTCAGAGGATGGGGACACTCAGAAGGACCCACCCTGGGGTCCTTCCCTGGTCAGACAGATCCTCCTCGGGCCACAGGCCCTGGCTCAGCTCTAACATGAACCATGGTTTCTCCAACTGCTCAGGGAAGTGGGGTGAGAATCTAGAAGCGTCTCTGCTCTCCTTGTCTTGAGGTCTAAGCGTGGTGTTTTTCTTCTGCGGGAAGGAAAAGAAGGAAAGAGAGAGCGGAAAAAAGGATCGGGTGGGGCAGGAAACAAGCAAAACACAAACAGAATGGGAACACACCATCCAAAGTCCCTCCTGGACTTCTTGGAGGAGACCGCAAGGGTCTGGTTTTCAGCCAACAGCTTGGAGAACAGCGTTGAGCTGGCTTTGCATGTCGTGGGGAAGAGGCCGGGGTTCTCCACTCGGACAGGATACAGGATGGGCAGGATGACATTGTGAAATACTCCACATCTACATCTATACCCAGGACTTCCCTGGTGGCTCAACAGTGGTAAGAAATCTGCCTGCCAAGGGAAGATCCCCTGGAGAAGGGAATGACAACCCACTCCAGGACTCTGGTCTGGAGAATCCCATGGGACCGAGGAGCCTGGAGGGCTCCAGTCCATGGGGTGGCAAAAGAGTCAAACATGACTTAGCGACTAAACAACAACATGTCTACTCCCACCTCGGCTTGGACGCCAAGGGAAAGGTCTGAACACCGCCTGCATCCTTGTTGGCAGGTCTCATCTCTTCCCGAAGACTTGTCTTTGTGAGTTAACCTCACCCTTGTTGGAGGATCTGAATCATGTCCACCTTCATTCTCCCCCAGGAGGCCTACTGGTGCCGTTCATTTAGCAAGAGTTCAGGTAACTTGGCTGGGGCCTCATCAGCTTCCCTTCGGCTGCAGAAGTTGTGGTCCTGAAGCTCGGAGGGACCTCCCAAAGGGCCGTGCTCCGTTCAGAGCCGGGAGGCCGCGTGATTGTAATCAGGTGGGAGCGGAACCCTCAAGTCCACCTGCGTTTCCCAGCAACCTTGGCAGAGGCACCTCAGCTCTCTGCCACGCTCCTCCACCTGGCTCCCAGGGCTTCCTGGGCACATGTGGGTGCTCCCACCAGTGCAGAAAATGCTCCAGGCTCTGAGATGACACATAGGCTGTCCAGGTGCAAATGACTGCTATTCTACTGCTTCACACACCCTCCCTTTTCCCTTTTAAGTTGTCTTTGAAATGAAACTAAAAAAAGGAATATTTGCAAAGAGGTTTCCCCCAAGGCCATTTCTAATACACCTGGTAATCAGTCCTGACTTTCAAAAGTATGGTTATGATTGCTGTAAAATTATTGCATCATTTGACTAAAATCCTTCTGTAAATGTTTTTGAAAAAATTTTTTTTATTAAAAAATGTTTTCTAAGGAGACTGTTTTCTTCCCCTTTCATCTGAGGCATGGGGCCACTTCACTCTTGCTGGTTATTGAGATGATAGAAGGCTTCCTTGACTGTTTCCCACACCTCTTCTTCTGAAGACCTCAAGATGACTTCAGGATCCAGGAGAAATTCTTTTTGCATCCAGGATGAAATTGAGGCACCGTGGATGTGGTGGGACTGCTGTAAAAGGCGTGCCCCCAAATCACGCAGTCCTGGGGCTAGGAAAAAGGCATCAGTCTCCTTTATCTTCCTTTGCTTTTTAGTAAAGTTGTTGTTGTTGTTTAGTCGCTAAATCTTCTCCGAGTCTTTTTCTGACTTCATGGGCTATAGCCAGCTAGGCTCCTCTGTCCATGGGATTCTCCAGGTAAGGATACTAGAGTGGGTTGCTGTGCCCTCCTCCAGGAAATCTTCCAGACCCAGGGATGGAACTTGCATCTCTTGTGTCTCCTGCATTGGCAGGCAGGTTCTTTACTGCTAGCACCACCTGGGAAGCCCCAAAATTATGAAAATCTTTTCAGTGTTTTTTTTTCTTTTTCATCAGCTTTATCTCAGTGTAATTTAAATGTAATGCATGCATGCCAAGTCTCTTCAGTCGTGTCTGACTTTTTGCAACCACATGGACTGTAGCCAGGCAGGCTCCTCTGTCCATGGGCTTCTCCAGGCAAGAATAATGGAGTGGGTTGCCATTTCTTCCTCTAGGGGATCTTCCCAACCCAGGGATCAAACCCATGTCTCCTGCATTGGCAGGCGGGTTCTTTACCACTCGTGTCACCTGGGCAGCCCCAAAGGCTGACTTGGCAGGAACAGGAAGGTAGTTCATACAAGTGAATCCCAGTCTCCCAATTCATCCCATCTTCACTCCTCCCCTTGCTGGCCATACTTTTCTTCTCTATGTCTGTCGCTATTTGCGCTTTGCAAACAGATTCCTCTGTGCCATTTTTCTAGATTCCACATATATGTATTAAAATACAATATTTGTTTCTCACTTTCTGATTTACAGCATCCTGTAAGTCTGTAAGCATCCTGTAAGTCTCTAGGTCCATCCACATCTCTGCAAATGGCACAGTTTCATTCCTTTTTGTGGCTGAGTAATATTCCATTTTATATATGTACCACATCTGTTTTTTAAATTTTAAAATACTTTAACCAGGAACTTTCTATTTCTTCATTGGATCATTTCTTTTTAGATTTCACATATAATGGATGTCAAATGATATTTCACCTTATCTATCTGACTTATTTCACTCAGTATGATGCTCTCTAGGTCCATCCATTTAGCTGCAAATGGCATTATTTCATTCTTTTTAATGGCTGAATAATATTTCATTGTATACATGCACCATATCTTTATGCATTCCTGTGTTGATGGACATGTAGGTTGCTTCCATATTAGAACTCTTATTTAACTGGATTTTATCTGATCTATTCTTAGTGTTGCCAAATTTAGCAAATAAAAATACAGCATTCCCAATTAAATTTGAATTTCAGATAAATGGCAAATACCTTTAAACTAACTTATATTTTATGTTACTTATACTATATCCTCAATATTGCCTGGGGTACACTTATACCATGAAGGTATTCATTGTTTATCTGAAATTCAAATTTGCCTGGGCAGCCTGCATTTTGTCCATCAACCCTATCAATTTGCTGAGATGCCCCCACTACTGGAAAAAGTTTAGATGTTGGTCCAGCTGTGGTTTGCTTGGAAGCAGATATTGGGTGGGAACAGGGTCTGTGTGGAAGTACAGCCCCTCTGAAAGGCTGGGGAGGCAAACCGAAAACAGTGCCCCTTCTGTTCCAATAAAGAGGCAGAGCAGATTCTGTTTATTCAGTCAAGTTCACAGCCAGAGGTGGAAATAATATACAGGTCTAGAAACGTGTTCTTGGATCCAAGACAAGGGATCTTTAAAAGCAAAGGAACCATTAGATGCTGATTAAAATGTTGGTATTTGGCCAGGACATCGTGCATTTTCCGTTTTCGGGCAGCAGGAGATGGGAGAAATTCAGTAGAGAGGTCGGAAGGGAGAAAGTCTGAAAACAGAGGACTTGAGGGTGGACAGAGGTGTTGGGACAGGCTGATCCAGACTCCAGGAGACCCGGAGTCTCAGCATCTGCAGGGAGCTGGGACTATCCCCGGGGGAGGGATGGCTATCGGGTAGGAGGGACGACCCCAGCACTGTGTGTAGATGTTTTCTGCACGAGGCTTCACACACAGGCATTGAGCTACCCTAGGTACCCCTCACAGCACCCTCAGATGGCAGACTGTTACCCCACTGCATGGCCAGAGCACGTGGAATTCACATGCATTCCGATAGACCCTGGAATCAGTCATCTTGTGAATTTCACCATGCTTTGCACTATGTATTGCTTATATTAAAGGTGTCTGTTTCTTTGATGTAAACATTTGTAATAAGCCCCTCTTTAGGAAATACCTCCAAAACTTCAAAGTGGCTCAGGAACTTTCCTGGTGGTCCAGTGGTTAAGACATCATCTTCCAGTGCAGGGGATGCAGGTTCCATCCATGCTTGGGGAACTAAGATCCCACATGCCTCAGGGCCAAAAAACCAAAACATAAAACAGAAGCAATATTGTAACAAATTCAATAAAGACTTTAAAGATGGCCCACACACAAAAAAAAAATCTTAAAAAAAAAAAAAGTGGCTCAGACCTACCTTGACAACCAGGTATGCCTACTATCTCAGACAGCCCTCAAGAACTCTGTGTCCCCAGCATTCCCACCTCAATTAAGTCATTGCAAAACAGTCAAGACACTAATTAAAATCAGGTTTATGTTCATGGTCAGCTGGGTATGCCTGGAATGGTCTTAGGTCCTCCTCATTGGCTCTCCCAAATCTCTGTTTGCTAACTCTTCAAATTACGTGTTCCCTTATTACTTGTTACAAATTACGTGTTCCCAAATTACTTATTCCTTTATATGGGGACAAGTTTCAGTGGGAATGAAGATGGTGAGGAGGTGGTCGAAGACCTGAGAATTGGCGCCCAACTGGGGTTCACATTTCTGTATAAAAAGGAGCCTGACCCCAGAATATAGATTTCAGAGTCTGCAAGTCACTCCAGGCTTGCAGTGCAGTCAGGAGTGCAAGAGTCTGGAGCTCTCTCGGGGTTGATCCTGGCTCTGTCAGGATCTAGCTGTGTGACCTACAGCAAGTTACCTGACCTCTATGTGTTTGGGTGTCCCATCAGTTAAAGGAGGATAACCATATCTTCCTTATGGGTTTGCTATGAGGAATGGAATAACAAATACATGCAAAGTGCATATGACAGAGCCTGGCCCAAAATGAAAGTTAAGTTAGTTAGCTTTAATAATTGGAACTTACTGGGACTGCCCTGGTGGTCCAGTGGCTAAGACTCTGTGCTCCCAAGGTAGGGGGCCGTGGTTTGGTCCCTAGTCAGGGAACTAGATTTCACACGCTGCAACTAGGGGTTCACATGTTGCAATGAAGATAGAAGAGCACATGTGCCACAACTGAAGCCACACAGTCAAATAAATAAATTAAAAACAAACAAAAAACATGCAGAGTTTCTTTTTTAAAAAAATAATAAATGGCCCTTACTGTCTACCTTCAGCTGTTTTCTCCGGCCCTCCAGTTCTGCACCTAGAAGGCTACCAGCCGGATCTCCCCTGATTTAGGAAGACTTGGGGGAGTGATGGCTTTTTCAAACACTCTCTCAAGGAAAGAACACCATTCCCAGAGGATCGGTGATGAATTATTTCTATAAAACCATGCCAAAATGGGCTTCCCTTGTGGCTCAGCTGGTAAAGA